TCTACAAGACAGTAGCCTAGCTCTTATGTGTATCCGATCTACAAGACAGTAGCCTAGCTTGTTTGTGTATCTGATCTACAAGACAGTAGCTTAGCTTGTTTGTGTATCTGATCTACAAGACAGTAGCTTAGCTTGTTTGTGTATCTGATCTACAAGACAGTAGCCTAGCTTGTTTGTGTATCTGATCCTATGGTTATAAAAGCTTAATGAGATATTATGCATTGTAACCATAAAGTTGCCATGGTTTATGGAATTTGTAATTTCAGGCTGTTCAGTTAAATATAATGATTAAAAAAACAATCTAGACATATGCACAGTGTTGAACATTTGTACTTTGATCTCAAAGACCATACTATAACTATATGTAGGTTATGGCACATAACCATTGGCATTCATGAAAGCTATGTACATAGAAAATTCAAAACAATGTACAAAGAAAACAATAGTACATACTAGACAAACAAACAAAACAAGCAAAACAAACAAAACTATTCAAGATAGAACATTGATCTTCACAATGATATATACCTTCTGCCATGACAGGTCATTAATTAAGATGGATATAAAACAAGAAAATAGGAAGTTGAGTGATATGGCCCACATATAGAGCTGTATTGTGCATAGTTGGTAGATGCAAGTTCCAAGAAATCAATTACTCTGACTTTTGAAAGGGCAAACAACCTGGTATTTGCATGTACTGCAGACTCAGCATACAAGTGAATAAAGATCACGGTAAATGATTTCTTGAGAAAAGTCACCAAGTGCTAAAAAACAGCCATATTTGTACAGTGTGCAACATGCCTCTGGTCTTGATAATTTACAGTGATCAACCAACAACAGCGGCCAGTCACTTGGTAAATGGTAGCAATAGCATTTATTACTTTTACTTAGTCATTCTGGTGTATTCACTAGGTTCTTGGGTTTGTGAAAGAAACAATACATTCTATTGAAAAATTTGAATATCCAATAGGTTTTAATTCAGAGCACGAGGTTGTCTGCGAAATAAACATGCTATGCTGTTGTTAGAATCGCTGCTATTCCAATCAATTCAGTTGAAGCCAGATGAGCATTGTCACACAACGCACCTACATAATATATTCAAAGCATTTAAAGTGGCAGTAATGGGACATGGAAGTGATGGGTTGCAATCACATGCTTTTATAATAGGGTTTACCTTGGGACCATCATCTGCCGAGGAGATTGCAATTGTGTCACCATTTTCTTCAGTTTCCTCAATTAGATGTTCATGTTCCTGACACCAAAACAAGCACAATCACAATGACTTGGGAAATTTGGGGAGAAGAAATACATAGGGGAAAGAGGCAGGGAAAGAGACAGAGAGAAGACCAACATGCCATTCACTCTAAGGGGGATCATGTGGCAATGAATTTACCTTGACCTTTTCAGTCTCTTCTTCACTCAGGCTATCAGAATCTCCAGAGGCAAGGACCTCATTAGGTAACACTTCAGCGGTGTCATCATGCCCGCCACCATTTACTATCATGCGTACATTGCCAAGTTTGAGACCCTACCAGATTCATTGAGTGTATGATTGTGGCAACAAACATAGTTCATTAGTGAAATTGATTTATCTATCATAACAGTTTGGACTTGGGGTGGGTAAATGAACTTCAGAAAAAGTATGACAAATAGATGAATGAATGAAAAGATGGGCCCAAATCCATCACTTTGGGTTCTGACAGGAAAATTTACATATAATTGGTGCAATTTTGGCTAGATTCAATAAGAGAATAAAGTCCAAACACTGAATTCAATTCCAGAATACGATTTAAATTTATAATAGCATGGGCATATACTATTGTCTGATTGGTGGAAACAGCCCAGCCATCTTACAATGTAAGATATGTTATTCATAAAGAATACTCACCATCTTTACACGTTTATTATTTTGTACATACAAGTAAACTGGTTTGATGAACAGCATCCATGGCACACAGAGGACAACCACCAACACTAAGAAAGTTTGTAATTCATTCTATAAAATTATAAAGAAAAAACCATCAACATGTTGAGTTTAATATCTGCTGGAGAAATAATGGGAAAATGATTCTACCACACAGACAGATATTGACAACGCTGGTGGTGCCCTTTTCAAGCTTCACCTGAACAGGAATTAATTATTAAAATACATGTATCTCCTTCACAATTTTATTACTGTAGAATACTTTATTTTCGCTTGGAATTTATTTTCGCCATTTTCGCTGAAGGGATGATTCCGTGAAAATAAAATCCAGCGAATATATTTTTTTTCTTAATATATTTCACATTAAACTCATCAAAAATCAGTGAAAATAAATTCCATACAAAACACCCAAAAAGCCTTTTCAGTGAAAATTAATTCTAGCGAAAATAAAGTATTCCACAATAAGTCAGACATTTTTAGATTATATGATTTGGAAATACAGTCACTTAGAATACTGAAGTACAGGATTATGCCGTAAATTCACCCATCCAGAAAATATTTTTGGGGGACTTTTTCATTGAAAAAATTCACCTAGGCCGACTTTCAACGTCGGCAGTTGGAACACCCAAAACAAAAGAAACTATTGTAAAGTAGACCGCCTAAAATTTCATTACAATGTCACCCAGCACATCTTTTTGCAAACAAATGACATAAACGAATCTTGTGCACCAAATACAATTATTGTTTTCATTTTATTAGTACCGAAGGTATATTCTAAAAGAAGTTTAAAATAAAAAAATGAACACAACTGCATTTCTTAGTACTATAGTAACAAATGATCGCGTTAGCCCAATCCAGTCATGCTGCATTTCACAATTGTTGATTATTATCTCGTAATGATTATAATAACGTGAAAAAAATAAATTTGTTGAATTGTTATGAAATGCAAATAAATTTCAACTTATTTCATCGTAAGCAAATGATTTCAGTTGCATTTTAAACGCTCGATGCTGTACAAATGAATATCCACCATGTTTTGAAATGGGATGGTGTTCTTTGACCTAAGAGGTCAAATCGCTAATTAACCAATGAAAACGATGAATGATGACAACGTGTTCAAATTACCATAGTTCATTTAAATATGTTAATGTTATTGAACGCAGCACGGAAGAGATTTGCCGATGTTGTTGTACGATCTTTTAGCTTGGATGTTGATGGGAAAGCGGCATGATTTGTCTTTAAATAAAAAAAAATTGTTGTTTTCAAAACATAAACTGAGCATTTGAAGAATAATTTTACATTGTTTACAGTGATAATAGCTCATTGTCAAAACGAAGCTTACCCATTTACGCTAGTCACAATAAACATCATACTCTTGAATAGGTGTCAATGACTACGGTGAAACTTTTAGGCATTAGAAAAGATTAAAACAGCTTAAAAAACTGCCAAAAAATTGTCCTAGGCGATTTCTTGGTTCCATTTTATTTTTTTCAAAAGCCCAAACTGCCGTTTAACAACCCAAGGTGAATTTAAGGCAGAATTAGGTACTGCTTCTGCTGAAGTCAGTACAACAGAGCTTGCATGTTGAGGTCAAGATGGACAGCCTTACCTGTCCCGGGAACATTGAATGTTCTTCATCCACGCCTTTCAGCAAGAACATATCGATGATCGTAATGAGCAAACTGGGTGCAGTAGACGATGTAGAGGCATCATATTTAAACCATTTGACAAATATCATGAAGACAAGGTATCCAAACATACACACCAAGAAGAGCACTTTTGGGATGAACTCACAGAAGATATTCAGAGGATTCTTAAAATACCTGTTTGAATTGCATTAATTGCCAGTTATTGAAATGTCTAACTTAATAAAGATGTAAGCTGACTAACTAGCACTAACGATGGACACCATTTTGTGTCATAAATCAGTTCACATATAAGCTAAGGTTGTCAATGTTTGCCAGTTGATATGGGGTTTATTCACTTGAGAAATGTCAATCCTACTTTGCTATAGTAATGTATCAGTGAACTCATGTGAACAACTATAGTTCACTGAGTTAATGCTACAAGACACTTTAGGAAGCAATGTGACTTTATCATATAATATATGAACTTGATTAAGCATATTGATAAAGTAATGAAACCTTCTGGTTTACCCATTCTCAACATTTGCACAAAAACAGCTTTGACTGTGAAGGTTATCAATGACTTTCTGACGGAAATGTATTAAAAGTAAAAATAATGATTTATTTTGACATAAGATATTTGATGGTACAAAGGTAAAGAAAATTGAACAAGTGCCCTCACAGATGAAATAGCTCATTTTTCTTTGTAAAGTGTCTTCCTAAAAGCAAAGTTGATAATGTTCTTTACAATAATATATTAGCTGTCGCCATGGTTACTCTAACCTCAATGTTCTCTACACTAAGATATTTGCTGTTTTTCATGGCTACTCTTACCACAATGTTCTTGCCATATCAAACATATAATATGGTTGTTGCTATGGCAATTACAATTATTACCATCTGGTTACAAATCTCAGTGTTTCACCCATGGAAGAATTTATAAAAACTAATTCACAAATAGACATCAATAGACAGACTCACCTATGGTTTACACAACTTAGCATAACTCCAAACAACATTTGAAATACACCTAATATAACAGACATTTTCATTTTGAAGGAGTTGGTGAACGTCAGCTCATTGAGAGCTTGTCTCCATATCTAGGCAAAAAAGAAGTAATAAACAATGGTACACTGAATTAAGCAGGAATGTAAAACATTTATACATCTTTCATTAATTTCAAATGAAGATTGAAAACAGGCAAACACTACCCTGTATAGAACCACCAAATGGTTAGTCTGGCCTTGGACATATTGCAGCAATGCTTGTTTTTATAATACTGCATTTGCATGTACATCAGTTTTTCATCAACAGGTTTAATGCCAAAGAATGAAATTTTTCATGTTCCTCTATTAAATATTAAAACTGAGTGAACATTACTAAACAAGGCATTATTAATCATTTAGTGTTTTCATTCACTTTCTTGTTGGTACCAGTGATATCAACCCATCATATTCAATTAAGAGACAATAATAGTTTTTAATAATTTGTAACTTGTTATATTTTATGTTTTGTTTAATGTTCTGCTGTATTGTATTGAGTGTAATGTGAAGATATTTATTTATTTGGAAGACCAGCAGAATCAAGTCCTATTTACAGGCTCCATCAGATAAGTACCAGTTATCACACAGAAATCATTGTGACAAGAATACTGATGTGCACTGCAGACCAGAAACAGCAAACAGTTTGACAGCTTTCTGTACCCATCTGATAGGATGCAATTTTGTTGGTTAGGACTGAATGTACCCTTTTGAATGCATTACTTGTATGTACTATGTACTTACCGGGTCAAAACCAAAGGGATATGGTGAGCCTGTGTAGGTATCTACTGGATCTAATTGCAAATGTTCATTATTCTTTATTGTTGAGTTCCTGAAGTGGTTAAAGATACATAGGCTCAGTACATGTCATAATAATATATAATGTGGTTGTCAACAAATTATTTAGTTTTCCACAATTAAATTTGTTCTTACTTTAGCTACCAATGTTATATTTCATACAGTATTTTCAAAACGATATAAAGACATATGGTTATTTCTAGTGATACCTATAAATATATCAACACAAAATGTGAATGGTCTTAACACAAAATGTGAATGGTGTTAACACAAAACAGTTCTTCCCTTACAATTAGCAAGCATTTTTTAAATCAGTCAAGCTGTTTTTATCAAAAATATATCTTCTCTTTGTTACCTCAGTCTTGTTTGCTTTCTCATTTTGCACTTTTTCCTGGATTTGTTTTTTTTAGTGTAGTTATATGCTTTTAAATTATTATATATAAAGTGAACTCCTAGAATATATAACACCAACTTACGTATAGTTAGCTTTATGACATATAAATGATGATCCAAATATGTTAATAGACTTGGAATACACATCATTGTATATTATACCAGTGTAGCAAGCAAACATACCCATTAACATTACAATATAGCGACCATGGTAGACAGGACCCCACATCTAAAAATCAACATTTACAAATGTAGTCTTATTTATCACAACAGTAAATTATTTCTTACAGGTTATTTAGCGTCTCATTCAGAGTG